AACACAATTTAGAACTGAAACAAGTTAAGTAAAATTGTAAAGTTTCAAAGGGCTGTAAAAACTCGGTTACAGACTTGAGAATAAGCGGCTTTCAGTCGTCAGCGGCTGTAAAAGGTGTCAGGGTAGAGGAGGTAAGCTTGGCCATAAAAACAAGGGCTCTATTGTTCTACGCTGGCGAGGCAGTGCTGCACGTTTCCTGGCCTGCTTGCGGCCCTCGCTGACTCTAGATCGCGTTATATCAGATGGAAACACTTTTACTATAGGCTTTTTTTCTATTTGCACTCTCTTTTACTGACTTCACTGAAAATTCAGTCATTCACTGACACGGATCATAAAAAATGCAAAAAGAGTTCCGAAAACGGCACAGTTAAAGTTAAAAGTTGAAAATCTGGGACCGCAAAACACGAGCGTCCGCTCTCGACCACGGCTGAAACTTGACTTTGCATTTGACTGTGATTTGACTTGACTGAAAGCATTTGACTGTTCCGCATGAGCGGCTGTTGATTGAAGATTGAAGATTATGAAGCTTCCCAGTCTCCGTTATCGTCGCCTGCGTGGTGACCTCATTGAATTATACAAGTATACCCATGGTTTGTACAAGGTCCCAGAAGGATTACTGGAATTTGAAACAAGAACCAACACCAGGGGCCACAGTTATAAACTAAAAAAACTGCGGTGCAACTTATCCACGCGACAACATTTCTTCTCGCTTCGAGTCACTGACATGTGGAACAGCCTCCCTGAAGATATTGTTGACGCTCCGAGTATGAACGCGTTCAAGAACAGACTAGACAAGGCCATGCATGAGCATAAGAGTTTAGTCTTAAAATGCTTCGTACGCTACGGAACAACTGATATCTAGGAGCTATTTTAAATCTACCGTCCGTTGAAAAGATCTGATCAAAAGGCCAGTCTAGTCAAGAAAAGTACAAGAATCGGCGACAGGCCTATCCAGGCCTATCCTTTAAATGCCGAAGATACTATACTATACTAATTAAACCGGCGTCTTACCGAAATTTTTAAGACGTAAACGTGTAGTACTATTTATTCTCTATCTGATGTTACCAAATACATGTCAGAATCAACATCCATTTTGTAAATATTCACTGCAAAAAAATGTTTTCATCACTGCTAAACAGGAGTTTTCACATTTTCATTGAATGCTAGCGCTGAGCACGTTGAACGTTTCGTACGCTCATAAATCTCTGGCCTGAAGTGGTAACCCTTGTCTACCCCATAGAGGGTAGAGGGGAAAACATCCTCTACCCCACCTCGCATGGAGGTAGACGGGCTGCACTCTTGTGGTGAAGGGGAGCACAAAGAGGGGCGAGTAATAATGGATGGCCAGTGGTCGGCCGAGGCTAGTTAGTTCTAGCCGACCGCAGGCCATTCCTCGGCCACCTATGAGACGGCCGTAGCCCTAAGATGGGTGCTGGCTCAGGTATCATACAAAGGTAACAAGCTCGAGCGCAGCAACTTGCCGATCTGAACACAGAACAAGGGTTCCACATTGTCGTCGCAAATTTCTCGCTCACGGACTTCGCCGCACTGTGACTACTGGCCTTAACTGGGCTGATACGTGGCAGCTGCGGTTTAATGCTGACAAGTGTATAGTACTACACCTCGGGCAGAACAATGAACAACAAGATTACAGTATGAGAAGACATGGTTGCAAAGAGAGAATAATGATTGAAAAGTCTAGTATGGAAAAAGATCTCGGAGTTTATGTCGACAAGGAGCTGAAATTTTCTATAACATAACATAACATAGTGATGTCGGCTCTGAAGTGTAGGCCTGATGTGGCCTGTCGCCGATTCTTTTCCATTTCGTGCCTTGTTCATAGATCTAAACTCGTGTCATTTGACCGGATCTTTTCATGACTGGCGATAGTTTGAAGAAGCTACTAGACTTCCACCGGGTTCGATAT